AACAAATGTGTCACACTAACATAGCTATTTCTTTGACCATGTCGGTATACCCCGCACAAGTTCCACAACATATTGCTACTTACCTAAAAAGGTGCCCCAGATCTGGGTAGAGGATCAAAACAAACCCAAACAAGGAATCATAATGTAAAGCAAACAAGTCAAACAATGAAAAAAAAGTAAAGATGTTCTAGCCCTAAGGTAACCCCACTTTTAAGAATTCCCCAGCAGAGTCGCCTGTTCTGTAACACGGTGGGAGAACTGACTTGGGTGTTTTGCATTTGATCGCAATTGTTGTGGATAGAAAGAGTCGCCACCGACTTTTCTTTTATGCAAACAGGAAAGGTTGAAAAGAACATGAAAGACCTTTCGAGATGATTTCTTGAGTTCGGTGGGTAGGTTATGAAAATGGAAGGTGTTAGCACCCTTTTCATCCGTAATTATCTACAGGCTCTTAGTTTCTTGCTAGATCACTTACTTTTGTTTGAAAATATGCTTGTGGTGTGGGTTTTGAAATTATTTTGAAAACGTCTTTGTAATGGCTCTCGTTTCTATAAGAACGCGTACAAAGTGTTGGTTTTGAAAATAGTTCAAAAAGGTGTTTATGGAATGTGTTTTTGAAAGTGATTTTGAAAAGTGTCTTTGTAATGATTCTCGTTTCTATAAGAATGCGTACAAAGAGCTTTGTCTTTTGAAAATGTTTCAAATGAAAGTGTTGGTGTATAAAATGTTTTTGTTCTGAGCAAGCGAGCAACTATGAGCGTCCTACCTACTCAAAAGGTCTAATGTTATTTTCCTCCTCCTTTAGATGTTGTTATCTTACCATTGATTTGGTAAGAAGCCCCATCATTGGATGTGAAGGGACGGGCGTGGAACGTTTTGTATAGTCATAGAAGGCAACTTATGGGACGTTTTAGAAATGTCGTTTAGAGACTAGATCATTTACCGAAGGCAACATTGAGGGTCATCGAGGGAATACGATATTTTATCGAGGGTCTTTGCTAAAACGCCCATATTCGAGGGACATGACTATTTTCTGAGGCAACAAGTGTGATTCCCCTAAGGGTGCATGTGTGTGAATAGTGTGTTTGATTGCATGCATTTTGTATTTGAATTTTTAGATTGTCTACTTGTTGTTTTTATCTTGCCATACATCCTAATTACTAGCATTTATATAAAAGTAATAAAAATGCAGAAAATAAATCCTACACTATTACAACCATATTGAATAGCAAGAAAATGTAAAGGCAAAAATAAAATAAAGGAAATAAAAAAAGGGCTCTTTCGATTTAGGAAGAAACATCCTTTGATTCTGCTTCTCTGGCTCCCTTCGATTTGTCCTGGAAGTGGTGAAGGCGTGCCTTTCGATTGGGACCTGGAAGTCAGTGTGGGCGTGCCTTTTGATTTGGGCTTAGTCTAAGGCAGGAGATACAACCTTCGATTATGCCTCTCTTCCTTCTTCAACTGGTGCCTGTAATCAGTATGGTCATTTTCTGGACGCCTCTTTCGTTCAGCATGGAGTGCCCTCTTGACCTTAAGTCCTTTGCTGCCTCCTTCGATTGGGGCTTGGAAGTCAGTGTGGAGGCCTAAGGATTCGTTTCATGCCTCCTTCCTCCTGTTTATTTTGTTTGAGATTTTGAATAGCAACATGGCCCAAGGCCATGCTAGCATTGTCTTATGGCCAGGTTAATTCTTAAAATATATTTAATAACTCAAGAAACAAAACCAAAAGGATTAACCATGAAAATAAATTAAAAGGCTGGAAACAAAAAGAAGAATAATGGTGTGTACATGCTTGAAACGAAAAGAAAGTTTATTCACATGTTTTGCTAGAAACGAAAGGTTCAAGATTAAGAGTGACTTACCTTGCTTGAAGCTGGGGTGTGTGAGCTGGACCTTGAGTCGCTACCTTGGATGTCCCTGGACTTGATGGAAAGAAACAAAGATGATGTTTCTAATGTTGGATTCGAAAGAGAAGAACAAGTGTGATGTTCTTTCTACTGGATTTGAAGGAAAACAAAATATGGGGATGTTTCTGATTCGAAAGAGGCAAATGTTTAGATTTTGGGTTTGAATATGTTTGAGAGTGTTTTGAAAATTCGTTTCTCCAGCCAAAAAAAGTCCCCCCTTGAGCTTGCAAATGCATCTCCATTTATAGAGAAAACATTGAAGGTCTTTTGAAGTAACCAGGTTTGTAGGATAACAAACCATGGTTTGGTTAAAAATGAAACAAAATTAGTCCCTTTTCGTTGTTCCCACGTTTCCAGTACAAGTGGAGGCCTGCTGGCAAAAGATTGAACATATGCCTTTGGCACTGCTTTCGTTCAGGCACAAATCAGATTGGGAGTTGATTTTTTGATAAAAGTACCCTTTATAAAAAAAGGGTACGTAGCCTTTTGTTATTTTAACTAAGAATGGTACTATCCAGTAGATAAAGCTTCAAGCCTTTGTGTAAGCCTCTGATCATGTAAATATTTGGAAGCAACATAGCCTAACAAGTAGGGTAAGGCTATGAGATTTTCTCAAAGCTCTTTAAACAAACTTGCTTCGAAGGGTCCAGAGTTGGGTTCAAAAGATGCTGATTTGAAGGAAAATAAAGTTTCAATCGAAGCCTTGTGTGAAGGTGGTTTTTGTCCAATCGAAGGCTTGCCTGCCAGGGGTCACATGACCAAACGAAAGAGGCATGCTAGGCCTACATCAAAGGAGGGCCACATGCCAAAACGAAAGAGGCATGTAGGAAGCAAAGATGCCCAGCCGAAAGAGGCATGCAGGAAGCAGATTGTGCAATCGAAGGATGCCAAAAAGAGGCTTTTTGCCTTGGAATCGAAGGAGACTACAAGAGGATTTTTACCTTGTTTCTGATAGCATGGTGGGAGCCCCTTGCTTTGCAAGAAGGAAGCTAAGGCCCAATCGAAGGCTTGTATGCAACTAGCCATCAACTTGTGAATCAAAGCAAGCATGGGTGGAAATATTTGTCCAGTCACCACAGGCATGCAAACATCAAACATCCAATCAAAGCAGACACATAGGCTGCCATTGCATTATCAACCATGTGAGGCCAAAGATGCAATCGAAGGTGGTATGCAGGAAACTCCTGCCTTGTGAATCCAAGCCAGCGTGTCAGAGGCCAGCACCCAGTCGAAGGATGCAAGCCGAGCTTGCATCGAAAGAGGCCAAAAGGCCAATCAAATGAGCTGAATCGAAAAGGCTTGTTTTTCTTCAATTTTTTCAAAAATATTATTTTATCTACTTTCCCCTTTTTTAACAGCTTCCTCTTTAATTTGATGCTGAAAAATCCAATTGTCCTTGTGCAAGCTTGAATTTTGAGAATCCTTGTGAGAAATTCTTTGAGAAATGAGAGGGAAAATTTTGAGGTACAACAAATATGTTGATGAGTATCAGAGGGGCTTTAAGATACAACTCACATGATTTTATTAAATATCCAAGTGATAACTCAAAGCCTTCATACGTGAAGTATTCATATATTGATAAGAATGTTAGGGAGGATTTTATAAAGTCTCATACCACTCCAGATTTCTTGGCTAATAGACAAAAGAAAAAGGAGAAAAGAGATAAAAATATCTTTTCATATATGTTGTCTCGTGGAGGATAAGATAAATTTGAACAAAAAATAATTAATGATAAAAAACAAAAAGAACTAGAGTTGGGAGATCCTTCTAGAAGCCTTGATCGTAGTCCATCTGCACCATCTCGCCATGAGAAACTGAGGTTAAACGTCATTTCTAACTGAGATAAAAGATATTTTCCGTAGTAGTGATATTAGCTTCTGCTGTAGTGTTATAATTTTATATATATATATATATATATATATATATATATATATATATATATATATATATATATATATATATATATATATATATATATATATATATATATATATATATATATATATATATATATATATATATATATATATATATATATATATATATATATATATATATATATATATATATATATATATATATATATATATATATATATATATATATATATATATATATATATATATATATATATATATACACTACGCCAAATAAGCTATTTAATAGCGCTTTTTTTTTTGTTTTTGATAGCGCTTAAAAGTGCTATTAACCGCGCCACTATTGTAAATATTTCTTATTTAATAGCACTTTAAAAGCGCTATTAAAGTACCAATTTATAATAGCGTTTTAATTAAAGTGCTATCAAAGTCAGTATTTTGCATGTTTTTTGTTTGTTTTTTTATAGCACTCTAAACAAAAAGCGCTAATATATAACATATGTTTGATAGCGCTTTCAAATAAAGTGCTAATAAATATGACCTCGCCATTTTTGTTCTGAATGCCCTGTGCAACTTTCCAGCTTCTCTATATACAAAGGCACGATGTTCCTCGCCAATATACAATTCTTCAACGCACTAACCAACCGTGCCGCTAATTGCAAGATTTCCAACCACAGTGATTTCCGCAACAACTTTCTTACCAATATCAATGTAATGAATGTAGCATTTTAATCAAGTCTTAATAAATGAAGCTGCTTATTCAACCTCAAAACCTTTTATACTTAACTAACAGAAAAATCTGGGTTTCCCCTATTAAATAATACTACACTTGTTGAATGAGGCGTGGTAAAACAACAATAGAGCCTATTTTATATATGAGATACTATTCATCCCTATTTACATGATATGATATGATATATCTATATAATGAATACAAAGTTTAGAAATGGTCATGAAATAAAATCATATTTTGTATATAAGAGATACTATCCCTAGTTACATGATATGTTATATCTATACAAAGAATATAAAGATTATAAAAGATCATGAAATGAAATCATATTTTGTATAAGAGATACTATCCCTAGTTACATGATATGTTATATCTATACAAAGAACACAAAGAATATAAAATGGTCATGAAATCATAATAAAATCAGGATTCAGGCGCACTTCGAAGCAAATGGTTGTTGAGACTAACAAAGCAAGCTTCATGCTAAGCTTGCTCTTTGGAAGCTAACAAGTGGCTACCAATAGCATCATTGTTTAAATACAGATAAGTTTTTTTGCCAGAAGATGTAGTAGTAGGTACGTTAGAAAAACCAGTGTAGTTGTCATTCAACTTCGATAAGCATATTTTCGCAATAAAATCAAAGAGCTCGTTTTCTTGCACAAAAGGTTGGGCTGCATAGTCTTCAACAGGCATCCACTGAATAGAAAAACAAACTATGTTGGAATATGGTCACCACCAGTCAAAAAACATCCTACAACTTTATAAAGATACCTTAGTTGCTTCAATTTCTGAGGCCTGACTTTGAATGTCAAAGGATTGAGGTTGCAACATGCAAACAAAGAACAAGTCTGATTTCTGAAAAAAAGATTTATGGCTTTGCCTGATACCAAAGAGACAGGAAGAAAAACATAAAGGTCAGTAGCAGGCCATATATTGAAGACAGAAAATTTGTGAACTATATGCATGCATTCTAATGATTCTTGTGTAAAAGATATAGTTGTGCCAACATTCAGACTGCATGCTAGTTGACGAGGTTGGTGTGTGTAAGTCACTCTTACCTGAAAGCTAAAACTTCAACAAACTCTGTCTCTACCTACATGAAGAACAAAAGTAATGCCATTAAGACTTCGAAATGAATAGTCCATTTTTTGTTTTAATATACAATGGTGTAATATAAATTTTGAAGAATGTTTAGTTAAATATATTAATAACAGACGGTGACAAGAAAAAAATGAAATAGAACAATTTAATCTGTACTATATTTTGTGTTTGCTTACCCCTGTCTCTTCCTTCACTTCTCTAATTACAGCATCACAAATATCCTCGCCCTGCAAATATGATAAAAATGAATCAAAAGAACATATTATAAGTTTCATAATTTGATGAATAATCATGTTGATATATACTTCATTAACAGCTCCAGTAGGCATCTTCCATACACCTGTGCCTCCAAATCTACCACTGGTTTCCTGAACCACAAGCACCTATCAAACAAAACGAGACTGTTTAAAGTATAATATAACAGAATGATTGATGAGAAAGAGAAATGAAAGAGGAAGAAGATTACCTCTCTTTTGTTATTGACGACAAAAGCACCAACGCCGAGACGGTGTAAAGCATTTGCAGGAATGCTATCAGGGGTATGAGGGATCCAATATACAAGCATCAAGTAATCTGACTCAGCATGATGGTACCTAAATCCAGCCTGCAATGCAATAAAAAATTGTTGGAATTCACACTCAATCTCATTATAAGCTATATGGTAGTAACAAAATTGTATATACCTTGACAGCAGAATGAACAAGATTAGAATGCTGTAAGGGCAAATTGATCCATATTCCCTTTTTTCCCTGTTTTGAGTAGATTAAATTAATTGAAAACATTAGTAATAATAGCAATTGATTAGTGAATCTAGATGATTAACTATGTAATTAACCTGTTGAGTCCATAGAGACATTGAATGTTCCAATTTAGAAGCAAATGAATCAGAATCCATAGGGTTTTGAACGGTTAGTATAACTCCTCCGAATTTATCCTCTTTATTTTTTTTCACGCTCCAATTGTCCAAGCTTATTGCCACCATCTGAAGCAAAATGATGATAAACAAATGCTTTCTGTTTACTCCTCTCTCTCAAAAGCCCCATTCCCCACAAAAACCCTAACACTGATTGTGTCGCCGGGTAACCAGACTCTGCAGCCGTCTCAATCTCACCAGAGCCTTCTTCGATTAGCCTCGCGTCTCCTGTCATAAGCTTGGTCACGACGGAGTAGTAGAGAGCCTCCGTATCGGATTGAGGTTGAGGTTGCGGTTGGGTGGAGGTTGGTTCGAAGATTTGGCGCCATGATCCAGGGTCGAGATCCTCTTCGGATTTGTGAGAGTCGAAGTCGCCGAACTCGTCCCACTCGGGGGAGGAATCGGGATCGGAAGGGGGTTCGTCTTTGAAGTCTTCTTGGGAGAGGACGAGGACGTAGGGGCGGGCGGTGACGGAGAGAGTGAGGAGAGAGAAACAGAGGAGAGAGATGAATAATTTGGCGGTGGGCATTGCTGTGTTGAAAAATCACAGTCACAGCAATTGAAATTCAGAAATAATATAGAAATTTGGAATGAGAAGAACAAGAATGAAGGATAGTGAATGTAAATGGATGAAATGTCGAGGATAGTCAAATAATAGCGTTTTATACAAAATGCTATCTTAAAGAAGTTTAATAATAGCGTTCTGGTACAAAGTGCTATCATAATTACATAGTCTGTATTATATAATAGCGCCCGATTAAAAAGTGCTATTATAAATGTGTTTTTTCCATTTTAATAGCATTTTTTTTAAAAGTGCTATTAAATTAGGTGATACAAAAAATCATTTTTGGCCTAGTGATATATATATATATATATATATATATATATATATATATATATATATATATATATATATATATATATATATATATATATATATATATATATATATATATATATATATATATATATATATATATATATATATATATATATATATATATATATATATATATATATATATATATATATATATATATATATATATATATATATATATATATATATATATATATATATATATATATATATATATACTAAACATTGATGAATAAGAAGTAAGTCATTTAGAAATTCCAATTATAATCTCATAATATGGTATTAGCTATACATTTTGAGAAACCATTAGATTGCTTCAAATGTTAGTTGAACCTTTTGAAAGTTAGTTACACATTTCTCGTTTTCATCTTGAATTACCAACAGTTTTTTTCTTAGCAATTTCTTTAATTCTTCTGCAAACACTATTCATCTTCATTTATTGATATTTCAACTTTTCTATTATTATTCATTAATTTTTCATCATCGATCCTCATTAGTGTGCCCTTGTGAGCAGTTCAACTTCTTATTCCGTAAATTGATACAAAATATGCATTTTGTGTTCACCATAGTTAAAGCCTAAATTCAGTGAATGTTGCACCTAAATTTAATGGATTTAACTATACTAAATTAAGTAGATCAATGAAAAGAGCTTTGGGTGCTAAGAAAAAGTTCTAGTTGATTTATGGTTCAATGGACATACCAACTCTACATTATTTGAATTGTTTTAGATCATGTATATACCTCACTAATGTTCGTTACTCATCTTAAATTCAATTGAATTAATTTTTGTTTAAAGAAAGTGTCAATATCTAAACTATTTCATTAAAATATTTGCTTATAATTATGAGTTACCTGATTTTAAAACCAGAATGATGTTTGGTTTAGGCAATAAAGTAGATTCAAGTAGATGAACATGTTCTTAATGCTTAAGCTACTCTCTAACTATATGCCCAAATCCATCAATAGTAAAGCTCTTTAGAATTTTAGGCCAGGTCATGCATGTAACAAATAAATGACTTGCTCATATGTCTCAAGTATATCTTTCGTTCTCTTTTGATAATAAAGCAACATGTAATATTTGTCATTTTTTTTAAAAAAGAAAATTTTCCTTAGCTAATAGTAGTTCTATTTTATCTACTAAGTTTGAATTGATTCATTTTGATATTTGGTCCATTATCACTCACTAAAGATTAGATATGTTTTTAGTTCTTATAAATTATCAAATTTTATTTTTGGTCCTTATAAAAAAATATGATATGTTTTAGTCTTTACAAAATTATTATGCACGTAGTTTTAGTTTCTACTGTTAAACTAATATGTATTTTTGAATGATTATTTTACAAACATGTTTAGAACGTTATAAAATTTTTTTTGTAAAATGAATTCAAAATTTGATTTCTAAATCGAGATTTTCATTATTTTTATCAATATTTTTTGAAATTTAAAAAATTCATATTTAATTAATCTCATTTTAAGAAATTCTAAAATTTAATAATAAAACATTTTATAGTATTCTAAAAAAATATGAAAAAATTTATTCAAAATTTTAAAAATTTAAGGGTAATTAGACATTTTTTAAAATTTTAGAAAATAGTAAGAACTAAAACTGCATGAATAAAATTTTTGTAAGGGTCAAAATATATCATTTTTTTAACATGAACGGAAAATAAAATTTAAAATATTTATAGGAATCAAAATCACATTTAACCCTATTTATAACTATAAATATTTTCTCACCATTCTCGATGATCATTCAAAATTTGTCTCTACTATTTTGCTTAAAGTCATATATGCATGGAGTAAATGTATGAGTAGAAAACTTTTTCACAATGTTTGGAAACCATAATCATATAACACGTACACAAACATTACCTACGCTTGTCATTACACTTGTACGTGTTACATCAAGAATTAGGCATAAATCATCATATCCGTAAGACTGTAAATGCATTACCACCAATGATTCTCAATACTCATCTAAATCTACACATCCTATGTATACGTTACTTTATTATTTTGATCTTAGACATGCTCAAAAATTTAATTTCTTGAAACTAAAGTTGGACATTCAAAATGTTGAATTTTTTTGTGCCAAAGAAAGTATTGGATTTCTCAATGAGTTAGGATTATTTACTCCAAACCAATGTCAACTACATCTGATGCATCCTTAAAATTGTATCAAGATTCCAACTTTCGTTATCCTGGCTTTCCATCATATATTATATTAATTGGAATTTTTTTTGTAATTAAATCTACCCAGACTCGATATCACATTCTACATCCAATAATTAAGTCTCTATCATCACCAATAATGGCTCACGCAACTAAAGTTTTGAAACACTTGAAGACATGTTATGGTCAAGGAAATATGTTTATAAAGATTCCACAATTTAATTGCATGGTTTTTTTTTTATGTAGATTGGATAGGATGCATTCACTCAAGAAGGTCAATTTTGGAGCAAGATATTACATCAGCTATTCAAGATATTAAAGATAATGATTTAAAGTGATTGAATTGGTTTGTTAATTAGTTACAAAAGTTGTTAATGGTTGTTATTTGCTGCACAAGTCATAATATGCATTGATAGGGTTTTGTGAAGGAGTGCATAAGGGCTCTACTTCCGATTTTTATGCTTTAGGAATATTTTAGAAGTGAAATATTAAAAAAAATAAGTACATAAATACTATCATAATGCATCTAATTTATAAAACAAAATTTTAAAATATCTCTCAAAGCACCAATTAATGTTTAGAGCATTAGAGGTGAAAAAAAATGATTCTTATGAATTTATTTGGAGTCTCATCTCATCTTTTAATTCAATTGAATGTTAAAATGCCAAATTTAAGCATAAACATACATAAAAACAACAACTCCCTATTCTCATCTATAACTTTTAAATATATAAAACAAGAATGTTACTTTAAATTTGTGCAAAATTATGGATATTTAACTCCTTAAAATGCTTCTTTAATGAATACTAATATATGGTTATTTAATATCACGTGTAATTTTTATGATAATTGTGAGAGGAAAAAATTATGAGCTTATACAATTGTTTTAAGAGTTAAAAGATAGTGCAGTGAAAGTGTAAAATAATTTTATATTGTCATTCAATAAAAAATAAATATTCCGTCGTATCATTAGACAAATTAAAATATAAGAATGACTTAATTAGATACATGATTGTGATTGGTTGATAGTGTAAAACTACATTACATTGTCCATGCATCAACCATTTTCTCTTCTTTTAAATTTTAGTTATAAAAATTTATTTTTAAAATGGAAAAATAAGTTAAACATAACAAGGAAGTGACAACTAATTGGAGATTTTTTTAAGTAGACAAAGGCATAAGAATTTCTTTTATACACAACCAATCACAGATTTTTAATTAACTAAAAAATAAATATAATAATTTTTCTCTCCTTCATAATTATAACCACCCAATAAATCCATATAAAATAGAAATTAAAATTAAATAAATTAAAAATTTTCTCTCTTTTTATTGGATGTTTCCATGCAAGAATTGTTCCAACTAATAGAATATTCTACCAAAATTGTTTTGTATTCTCTTCAACGTGGTACTCATAGAACATATGGTGTCATTATAACTATACACACTGGCTCTAATTACAGAATTTTTTTTTGAATAACCATGTATTAAAAAAAAAATCGCAAATAATTATATTTTGGAAAAAATTATGCAAATAATCATGTTTCAGATGACTCCTCAAAGGAGGAGCCATCTCACTTGGCGCCTACACCTACCTTTTAAGGGGAGGCGCCATCTCACTTGGCGCCTAGGTGCTTAGGGCTTACCCTAAGTCAAGTGAGATGGCGCCTTAGTGCATTTGCTAGGGCAATTTTCACGTTTTTTTTCAATGCGGTGCGTTACATATTCGATATAGGATCAACAAAATTGACATTTTATTTACAAAATATGATTACACACATAAGTATTACATAAAAAAAACAGATTAGTCAGTGGTCCCCCAGAACCCGGTCATGACCCTCGGTTCCGCATCCCCGTCCTCGCTTTTCCCGTGTTGGGTTTCGTCGTGTTTCCTGCTGTGGCAGGGTCGATGGCCCAGCGAAGTCAATACATTCCGAATCCATGAAATCAGTCAGATCTCCATATCTAGAAAATCCACTTTGGTACAGTCGGTTACCCATACCCTCAAAGTTTGGTCGTGTTGGCGGTGGGTGGGGTTCCATGGTTGGTCTGTAGCATTGGTCGTCTGAGTACGGGGGGTAGAAAGGAAATGAATCTTGGGGTGTTTGGTATTGAGGATGTTGGGTGATTTGGTGATATTGTGGTTGATGGTAAGTTGGGCGGTTGGTTCATAATTTTCCGACATTCCCAGATCAGGGCTAAGGTTGGATGTTGAGGGGCCCATATTGGGATATGTAAAAGACTGAAATTGTGTATGGGGTATGCGGGTGTGTTGGTATTATGATTAAAATTGCGGTTGGGTGTGAGGCATATGGGGGTATTGGTACTGAGATGGTGATTATGGTTGGTTGTGGGGCATGTGGGTGTAATTGTATTGTGGTGGCGACTGTGGTTGGGTGTTTGTGGTTCTGTTTCGTCTGAGGGGTTGGTGGGAGGTTGATGTGTGTTGGGTTTGTTGTTGGGGAAATGAGCGTTGTG